GGTATCGTATTCAGGGTGCGAAAAGGACGATTGCTAGCAGGAAGGGAGAAAGACACGTGCAGAAAGATTACAAACTTTGTTGTGACATACGGGGTAGGCCGAGTCTTCGAAGTAAGGCGATGATTGGTGCCTATTTATATTTTAAGACTGTGAAGGCTGGGTGGCAGTTTGCGAAGTAAGGTGGTGCAGGTGGNTACAAACTTTGTTGTGACATGCGGGATAGGCCGAATCTTCGAAGTAAGGTGATGACTGGTTCCTATTAATATTTTAAGACTGTGAATGCTGGGTGGCAGTTTGCTAAGGTGACGCAGGTGACTCCGGATCCGAGGTGGGAAGAAGGCATCAAGCATACTGTCAAGCTGGTGGACATCGGCAAAAACATCAATGTGGCACTTCTGGAGAAGAATCTGACGACGGACAACCTGGTACAAGATCCAGGAATGTGGTGCTGGCATGCACACCGAACGGCGAAAAGTGTCAAGAAGTACATGTTTGAGTTGGAGGATGATAAAGTGGTTGAATTTTGAAGTGCGTAGGACCGCGGAAAAGTGTGCCAAGTGGTGCAGTCGAATACGGGTCAAAATTAATGTGGTTGAGCAATTGTTGTTTTGGCTAAAGAATGTACCTTGTGATGGAATCGTATTGCAGTGGTACCACGGTCGTGACGAAATTGAGGTGTGTGTATTACATGAGTTGATTCTGGTGGTTACTGTTCGGACTTACTTGTTGCAAGAGAATGATATTGGTTGTAGGTCAAGTATTGCNGGTTGTAGGTCAAGCATTGCACGTTGTGGTCAAGTGTTAATTCAAACGAGACTGATCGCAGATAAGTATGCGTTGAACCTGGGGAGGGCGAATGTCGTGCAATAAGTCAACCCTAGTTTTGGTCAGTGTAAGAAGACTTGGGGTAGTTTAATCGCAGTTTATATGTTGAGGCGTGATGGAATGGAAGGTCAAGAAAAGAGCATGAGGTGGAGACTAGAATTGAGAAGGTGTTGATTAATGGTTGGAATGATGAGCTTATGAGGGAATTGCAGTTGGTGGAGAGAGAGAGAGAGAGAGTTGGAGAGAAAGTGAAGCGGCGCAATTAGATACATACGGAGGAAGCGGCGCAATTAGCTTGTTTTTTGTTTGTTGTTTTTCTCCCATCATTGGACTCTGTCGTCTGCCCCTCTGGCCCCTATCCTCCACTTCTACTAGCTAGACGACCCAACCGGGGTCACATAGGAGGGCGGGGTTGGACCCCCTCCTGCGGTTCATGCCTGAGGTATTATTATCGCGAGAAGGGTGTGTCAGCTGATGTCGCGTGCCCCCCCTGTTCCAGTGTTCAATTTCCCTGCTGTTCCCGGCCCACGAAGGCCTAAGAAACACACTTTGATGATCGCAAGCAACTTCGAGACGCGCAAACCCACGACCCCACTGGCACATCTACACACATATCTACGCGCGATAGACCACCGCCGGCCGATTCCACGTTACTGAGACAGTACCACCTGTCCCCTCCAGGANAGTGTTCAATTTCCCTGCTGTTCCCGGCCCACGAAGGCCTAAGAAACACACTTTGATGATCGCAAGCAACTTCGAGACGCGCAAACCCACGACCCCACTGGCACATCTACACACATATCTACGCGCGATAGACCACCGCCGGCCGATTCCACGTTACTGAGACAGTACCACCTGTCCCCTCCAGGACCGCCTTTGATGGCAAAACCAGGTTACTGAGACAGTACAGCTCCCTCTAGCAAACCTAGACTCAACCCTGAAGGGACCGATACCTTCTTGCTGCGGCGCACCCGCCGCGAGGCGTGCGTAGTGGTGGAGTTGGGTCGGCACTGGTGCGTCAGGGACAAAGGTGCAGATGCGCGGGTCTCCAGGCCGTCGGTGTAGGCAGCAATACCAATGTCATCTTTGTGCGCGGAGGCAGACGCCATCAGAAAGGTGGACGGGCACTATGTACACAGTCCTAGGTTTGCTAGAGGGAGCTGTAGTGTACTGTCTCAGTAACCTGGTTTTGCCATCAAAGGAGGAGGGGACAGGTGATAAGGAGCTGATTGGGCTGGTTGACCCTTCGGCGCGAGAATTTNGGAGTTGGGTCGGCACTGGTGCGTCAGGGACAAAGGTGCAGATGCGCGGGTCTCCAGGCCGTCGGTGTAGGCAGCAATACCAATGTCATCTTTGTGCGCGGAGGCAGACGCCATCAGAAAGGTGGACGGGCACTATGT